ATTTTGTAATGGCACGGAGAAGCCACACATAGTTAAGAAAACAAACAAGTATATCTCGGCTTAAAAATATGCCCTTGGCCGGCAAGTTCCTTGTCAACAACCCTATAAAGAATATAACTACTCACACGATTCATATAAAAAAATCCAGCTAGCACATAAATCATGTTTGGGCCATCGAGGCCACCATGATATCTAGGGAAATGTAAACGCTATATGGGTTGTCGAAACCACCATTATCTCTATACAAAAACGAAGAAATACTATGTATCAAGACAATAAATCAAATCATCGCCAAACTTTGGCCAACCAATAAACCAGGCCAGCATGGATAATAACGTGGCAATACAACCCGACACACTAGTATGCAAGCCTCTAAGAGTAGTAAAGCTTGGTTAGAACAGGGCCCCGACATACCCAAAAACTATATACAACAAAATCTAACAAACCTTTAAACTCTGGCAGCTCCGGAGGAAAAAGGGCTAACCAACCTACTGGAACTCAATCGTGCTGCTGGGGAGGTCTATCGAGTCGTCTGTCGGGACCTGCATACATCAATGCAGCCCCCCAGACAATGGGGCATCAGTACAAAATAATGTACCGAGTATGAAAGGCGATATACTAAATGAGCAAGTATCATAATATTTCAAAAGCAATCCGGTAAAGAAATCAAAATTTAGATAAACATGCTAACCCACTACTAAATCTAAATAAACAAAAATAATCAAACATCAACCTAACCAAGCCCCCATAAGCTCGACAGGTACAAACAACATACCACCTACTAGGCCCTCATAAGCCCAAAAGGTTCCAAATTAATCTACATACCCCTATCGATAACCCCTTGTCTTTGTAAGAAGTCACATATCCCTTTTAGGCAATGATATATCCCAGTAGGCAGCACATAGCCTTCCTTAGGCAACAACATAGCTATGTAGGCTGCACATAGCCCTCTTTTGCATCAACATAGCCCCGTAGACAACACATAGCCTTCTTTGGCGTCAAAATAGCCTCGTAGGCAACACATGACACTTTTGGTATCAATATTGCCCCGTAGGCAACACATAGCCCTCTTAGGCAATAACATAGTCCTCTTAGGCAACAACATAGCCCCCGTAGGCAATTCATAGATCAGCAGCTAACCACAATAGCCCCAAGGGCGATAACAAACAATTCAATATGCTAAAGGCGAGCAATTTAGCTATAAATAATATATATAAATAGTCTCCAAGTCGTTCATAACGTAAGATCGTTCTTAATAGATTATGAGTCCCTAAAATGAGGGTTTATAACCACTCAATTAGCCAACCACTCACAATTATATTTACAAGATCACCAACATTAACAACCCTATTATATCATTCCCAAGCTTTAAGGAAACATGTCAAACAAAGGGAATAGCCTTAACATACCTTTTTCTTTATAGTTTATGCTGAAAATACCCCTACCCGCACCACTACAACACTAAAAAAAAAGTAAACTCAATCAATAATTAAGGATAAAAATTACTACGACAATTCGACAATCGATATAGATTCCTATTGTAAATTACTATACGAGACCTAAGGTATTCATAAACTGATAAAAAATGGTTCATACCTTTCTTTACACGCCCAGAGCACCTGAATAAACTCAAACTATTGAAAAACCCCTGCTGCCACAACTTCCACGAAGCTACACCGCATAATTCATCAAGAAAACTATACCAAAACGACGAGCTCACGACATAGGGAAATTTTTGATAAAGAGCCAAGAAGAGATCATGAATACACAAGGATGATTTGAGGAGAAGTTCTCTGATTTTTATGGGTTTCTTACGAGCTGGAATGAAAAAAAAAAAAAGATGCTATCTTATAAGGTTCCACTGACCTAGGGGACCCACTAGTCGCCTCTGTTGTGCAGTCAATATAAAAAGGTGAATATCTCTCTATTCCGATGTAGTATGAATGAACGGTTTGATGCGTTGGAAACTGACTCGTAAACCTTCGATTTGATATATTGTAGGCCCTCTAACTCTTCTTATATTGGGAGAAAACCTTTGAGACATTTGCACTAAATTTCAGAGAAATCTTTAAAAAGGGACTTGCCATAACTTTCGCCAACTTTTATTACTAAACTCGCTTAACTTCAAAAATTAAGATGTGACCCTCGAGAACTTAAAATATGACCCACATAATCACTTATATATATTAATAACTCTTTGTCTTTCCACGAAGATACGACTTAAGTTAGAGTTCCGAAAAGTCGGGGTGTTACAGTATATATGATATATTAGATACAAAAACCCAAACAAGCCCGGGCACAATATATATTACTTTATTTATTTTAATTAATGTGACATGGATAGAATTAGGAGAGTCAACTAAATTATTAAATATTTTTTATTACTTTTCAAATAATATAGGTGGCAAATGTGATATTTTGTAAGCTAATCGATTTTTTAATATATTTGTTTAAATATTTAAGTTGTTAATTATTGTGATTTATGTGATATATGTGAAAATTTTAGAGTTAATCAATTTTAATACATTTTTTTGAATTTTTTAGTTGTTAAATATTGTGATTTATGGTATTCCTAGTTAGCATAATTTTCAAATAATATATGTTTCCATGTTTTTAACTATTTTTAAAGTTGTGATTTATAGTACTTTTAACGTAATTTTCAAACAATATGTTACTCACTCTTCCCCAACTTACGTGACACATGTGAAATTTTGAACTCAATCAAATTTTCAGTATGTTTTTTTTAAAATATTTAAAATTGTTAATATTGCAATTTATAGTACTCTTAATTCACGTAATTTTTAAATAATATATGTTATTTCCCCTGTCCCAATTTATGTGGCACATGAGAAATTTTGAGAGTTAATCAAATTTTTAATATATTTTTAAATACTTTAAGTTGTGATTTATAGTACCTTAACGTAATTTTCAAATAATATATGTTACTTTCTTTATCATAATTTATGTGACACGTGTGAATTGCAACTTATAGTACTCTGAATTAAATTAATATAATAATGATATAATATTTAAAAAATTGAATACTGAAATTATATGATTTACACATTTTATATAAAAATGACGTAAAAGATTTTAAAAAATAATTTTATTAAATTAATATAATAATGATATAATATTTAAAAAATTGTATACCGAAATTATAGGATTTAACCATTTTATGTAAAAATGACGTAAAAAATTTTAAAAAATAATTTTCCGTTGCCGGGACTTGAACCCGGGTCTCTCGGGTGAGAGCCGAGTATCCTAACCAACTAGACTACAACGGATTTGTTATTAAACTAAAATATTTTATACTATAAAGTTCAATAATTTTAAGAGTCAAAACCCTGCTTCGACAATAGCTGTTTCTTCTACTCCTATCCATTGGGGAACTCGAAAATCAACTTCAAAATGCCTGTCGCCTAAGGAATTGGCTGCCGTAGAGTTCACCTTTTCTCAATCTACAATAACAAGAAGAAGAACCCAGCAAAACCTTCTAATCACCAGGTTCTCGTTTTGTTTTCTATGCTTATTCTTGGATGTTACCTATTCCCATTTCTTTTCTGTTTCAATTCGTTAAAATAGCTCCAAACTGTTAAAGATTCGATCTTTAGTGAATTTCGGAGAGTGGGGTTTCATTCATGAATCATGTTGTGGGAAGTGGGAACTGAGGAGGAGAGGGCAACGTTAATTTAGACTCAATTGTATTTCTGGAATGTGTTATTGACATAGGTCTGGAAAAGCTTTATATCCAATGAACTAAATAAAAATTGAGTAACTGAAGTAAGAAATAGCAGACCAGGTACCAACTGCTTAGTAGCACTAGTCAGTTGGCATGGTTTTTGAAAAAGATGTAATTGGAGAACTGTCAAAAGGGATGAACAAGTTCAGTTATCAGACTGGTGAGGTCCATTGGAACAAAACGAATAAACTTCATGAGTGTACAAGGATCAGACTGCCACATGTTTTAGTATGGATTTGTAAAAAAGGAAAGACAATAATGAATTTGGTTTGCTGAATGGACATACAAGAAGATTGTATGATGTTTCACATTTCTTCTGGCACTGAAAAGAAACAGCAGGGGGAATTTACGTAAGAGAAAGAGCTTATTTGGTGGAGTCCTATCCCCCGGAGGATTAAATAGCACTTCTTTGTGGCTATGAGCGAGAGCTCGTTGCGCCTTCTTTTTCTGTGATCGGTTCTTGAGCATGTTGGTGTCTGAAAGAGCTACTTGAAAGCTTTACAAACAAGCAAAAAGATAATATCTATTCTATTTTTCTTAGTATAGTAAAGGAATTTTCCCTTACTAGTAAAGTGGTAAGGTAGGATACTATTTGATGAAGAAACCAAAATTTAGGGAAGTAGTTTATGTAGCTCAGCTGATTAGAGCAAAAATCATTTTCAGTGATTCGAATTAGCTACAGTCTGATAATAGGAAATACTGATATTAAGTTGACTTCTAACTTAATGGTGCATATGGTTACTATTCTTGAAACATCATTTATTTATTTACTTCCGTGACATCTAATGTCACTGTATCCATTGGAGTGGTAATCCAAGTTACAGTTCTACTTCTTCCCTAGCTGTCATATGGTTGATGCCTTTTGGAATGGTCTTGCTGCTGTTGTCACAGTGCTCTCATATATCTAACTGTTATAGTTAGTATAATCTGCTGAATAAAGTGTAGTATAAGTACAGGTTGACAAATTGCAGGTTACCTGTATGTGAACTATGTATTTGACTGCTTTCCCACAATCCCTATCTTCTTCCTTTTCTTTCCCTTCCTGCATGTGCTTCTGGCTGTTGGAATTTCACGCTAATGCTTCATTACATAATTCTGATTCAAGTGTTGGACTTTCTTCTTCAGTATGCAACATTAAAAGTTATTCTTTTTCTTAGTAAGATTTGATTCTTTGCATAGAATCTGCTTCGAACTTTTTAATGTCTTACATGAATTACTATCAGACTCCTACAGAGCATTTGTTTTAGTTGGGTCTTCTGATTTCTTCTGACTCAAATTATTTGCAGTTTCTCAGTTCGTCAACAAATACTAAGGTGGGCTACAATGGCAACATCAGGAGTAGCTGCTAGTCCCATAAAATACTGTCTCCAGTTACCTGTACAATGTCCACGGTTGCGTGAGAAGAGAGTTTCAGTTTCTAACTTCGGGAGATCAAGGTGCATGCTCTATCAAGTGTGATTTAGTGTTTACTTTTTCTTGGAGTTCACTCAAATGGTAGAAAGTTCCTGATTGATCGTTTTCATTTCTGTATTCATCATGTAGAAGTCATTGTACTGTTTCTACACAGAAGTATCACCCAAGAAGAATGCCTTTAGTGAAGTGTGCAATGGAAGCTTCTTTTGGTGGTTCTACAGATGACTCTGCTGGTAATTTTAACGGCTTTTTTCTTAATTTAGCTTCTTTACATTTGCAGAAGTCATGCCTGAATTACATGGTCGTTGAGATGCATATGGACTCCTTTTCAAGAGGTTGATGATTGTGGCATTTCTTTTTTTTTTTTTTTTTTTTGAGAAGGTAACAAATTGTATTATAAACCAGTACTTAGGTAGTACTGAAAACCCCTTTACAAAAAGTATGAAAATGTAAGAACAAAAACAGCAAGCCTAGCATGATTCTAATACTTCTAGGATTGCTTCTGCATCTATAGGGGAACTCCTTGTGCCCCAAAAGATAATAACAAAATACAATCTTTTTTGATAATTTGTATGGATCTGCTTCTATCCTCAAAGCTTCTAGCATTCCTTTCTCTCCAAATGGTCCACCAGATGCATGTTGGAATGCTCCTAGAATAACTTCTGTTCTTTGCCCCAATTCCTGCTTCCTCCCAACTTGAGAGAGTGTCAACAATCTTGCTAGGCATTGTGCATTTCTTCTTCTTTTCGCCATTCCTTTGGATATCTATTCTGTTGAAAGATGTAATGTGAGCAAAATAAGGTGTCCATTGCCTCTCTACCCCACAAAAGTAGGTGTAAGTTCTGCATACACCCCCCCGACTCCACATCAATTCGTTATGTATGGATGATGAGATTCCGTAGATATAGAACCAATTCCAATAGACTTATTGGAAGTTCCCATTGGCGTGCATCCACTAGGAATTGAACCTACAAATTCGCCAATTATGAGGTGGGTGCTTTGACCATTCAACCATGGATGCTTCACGGTGATCCTCGTACATGGTGAATAACCAAATTCCACTTGCAATGAAATCTTTAGGACAAATCAATGCAATTTAGGAGGAATCAATGAGAGGACATCAATTCAAATCCTGGATTTTTGAATTCAGAGAGATAAAAAATTCTCACCATTTCTTAGATTCATGGACCCAGTTCAGTTTAGTGGGAAACAAGTCCTCCATTTCTTGAATGTGTTTGCCTCTTTCTATTTCTTTTGTTTTTTGGTGGGTCCATCAAATTTAATCACATATAGCAGATTGAGATGCTGCATTACTGCAAGGATGATGCATTATAGCAATAGATTTAGTAGTATGTGGAAGATACATAAATATTGAAGATTTCTATTCTAGATGACATTCATAATTAACATAAATCCTGTGGTTATAGACTGACACCTTCAGAGAGTGTAATGTGTCACAATAAATGACCTTTGCTCCTTCAGTTGGTTCTGAAAGGAGTTCTTTGGCTGAGGCAAACATCGTCTGTCAATATCAGAAAGAAATATCTGCCTTTTTTCTTTTTTGTGCAGAAAAAGACATTGCCAATTATAACTTCTTATGGTCTACATGTGAATATGCACAAAATATTGCCGAGTCTGCTATGCTTCTTAATTGCCTTTCAGTTCAATAATTCATGCTGTATTACTTAGGCTTTTGTAGTTGCTCTTGTTGATGCATTCTCTTCTCTCTGTGTGTTGTTTCTTCAAGCGCAGCTATCTTTCCGAGAATCAATGTGAAGGACCCATACAAACGACTTGGAATTAATAAGGAAGCTTCCGAGGATGAAATCCAAGCTGCCAGGAACTTCCTAATACAAAGATATGCGGGTCATAAACCAAGTGTGGATGCAATTGAAGCTGCCCATGATAAAATAATAATGCAGAAATTCTATGATAGAAAGAACCCAAAAGTTGATATTAAAAAGAAAGTCAGGGAAATGAAACAATCTCGCGTTGTGCAGGCTGTCACTAGCAGGTTTAGGACACCAGCTACAAAGTTCATCGTGAAAACTTCCATTGCTTTCATAGTCCTTGGAGCTCTCACAGTTCTGTTTCCTACTGAAGAAGGTCCAACCCTTCAAGTTGCCATTTCCCTGATCACTGCCATATATTTCATTCATGATCGGTTAAAGAACAAACTTCGAGCTTTTCTATACGGGTATGCTTCTTAATTGTCTTCTGACCTTACTGTTTTGTCTTTTTAATATGGTCATTATTATCTGCACAGTTGACCTAATACTCCATGACTAACAAAGAAAACTGTCTTGAGACCTATGTTACATACATGGACACAAATTTTGCCATGATGTACACATGTTAAATGTATCTGGGAATGGTATAAATTCTTCAAAATACACTAGATACCTGCAAAAAATTGAAGAGAGTTGATTTTCTTTATTATTACAGTGAATACTGGCATCAGAGATGATGTATTGCTTAGTAAAACTCATAATTAATTGTCGACACCAAAGTTAGCCATGGAATTGAGTCTTAGTTTTCGAATTCCTAGACTTCTTCGTTATATTTGGTAGTTAAGGTGTTCTCATTTTTATTGCTAAATTGTGGTGCAGAGCTGGTGCTTTTATTTTCTCTTGGCTTCTAGGGACATTCTTGATGGTGTCTGTGGTTCCTCCCATATTTAAAGTGCCAAGGAGTTTGGAGGTGACAACTTCATTGATTACGTATGTACTTTTGTGGGTTTCTTCCACGTATCTCATATAAAACGGTTTCATCATCTCAATTTTGTTAGAGAAGTGCCAAGATTGTTGGTTGTAACCGCATGTATTGCTAAGATCTAGTGAGATTTTTGATTCAAGAAATTGTAGATTTATGAAATGAAACGTTCTTCTTTGCTTAGAAATTGGCGATTCTTCAGGCTAAATGGTGCCTGCTTTTTCTGAGGCCTAAGAGTAATTCTCAAGATTGCTGTTCTAGCTAATATGTTTGGTTCTGTTCACTTGCCATTTGAGTGTTTTGTTACTTCTGATACCACACCAATTAAGCAAATTAATGTTATGGTTGTGCAAGAATTGCAATCTTCTTGTGAGTGTGATGGGTGTGCGTGCATAAGCTCAATCTCAGCTCTAGCAGTTAAGTAATAACCAAAGAAAAGGAAATATGTTCAGTGGCTCAAGAATGATGACATTATTTCTGAAATATTTCATGGGCCACTATTCAATTCCAGCCACTAACCTGACACTTGTTTGATGTGCTCACCTTTTCTTGATTAGAGTGGTATACCATTTTAGTTAGTTCAATGATCTTCAGATATTAGATGATTAAACCAAAATAAAATTTTTAAAAATTCTGGTTATGAAATGGTGATTATTTTTTCTTCCAGATGTTACAAGCAAAAGAGGTATAAATTCTTATGTCTGGTTTATTACCAAATTGCTTCATTAACTTTTTGCCATGTTGAAATCCAAGACGCCCCTTTTCTCACCGTCAAGTGGTTGAACACCCCTCTCTACGAAGCAAAACGCCATCGAAAGATGCTGCATTGTCTAAATAAAATGAATTAGGTAATAGGTAGGACCTGCCAATCTCTCATCACATCAACCTCTCTCTGTAAGGTTGTTAATCTTTCTCTTCCAATGAAACAAAGTATTTTTTGCTTTGGTTTTGGGTACAAAAATAAAACAAAGATAAAGGCATTTACAATCGACCACCCATTTTTTTCTGACAAAGAAAAAACCTATAATTATAAAATAAAAATAAAAATGAATCTATGGACGCATTGGTTTGTTCCCAAATTTATTAGCTTTATTAGGTTCCACTGATAATTTTTACTCAGTGCAACTTATTTTTAGTTTATAATATCACTAACCGTTAAATCGATATAACGATTCATAAATCAATAATCAATATCTTAATGATATGCCGTCTTTTCCACTAGTATGGATTGGTGTGAACCAAGCGTAAGTAGTTGCTCATCACCATTTTCTCCAATCATCCATATTTTAATTTGATGAAAAAATATTTTTAACCACAAAACCACATATTCCAGGTCAGCAAGCCACTTGTTGATTGGCCAGTGTATTATGGCCTCAAATGGCATATCTCATGGTACAATATATATATATATATATATATATATATATGTATTGGGCATGGGATGGGACTCAACTTGTAATCATAAACACACAAAAAGCAAACAACTAAAAAGATAACAAACTTGTAGCTGAGGAGAGAAAGATAAGAAAAGAAGAGAAATGGCATCAGCATCTCTCCTCAAAACATCACCAGTCATTAACAAAACTGACTTCATAAAAGGTCAGGCACTCCGCCAGCCATCCGTCTCCGTCTCCGTTGTCCGCTCCCACCCTTCTGGACTCACTGTCCGTGCCAGCTCTTACGCTGATGAGCTCATCAAAACCGCGGTACGTACCTACATGCTATCAGTGTATTTTATCATGTTGTAGCACGTATAGTTACTTACTAGGTTCTATTTAATATTATCATTTTATCAAATTTCTATTACTCCTGTCAAACAATAAAGCATGCTATGGTTACATGTACTATCAAGTGGCACATAACTTAGTTCACCACTAAAAACAAAGGTTTTTCCCTCCTCAAGTCAGTGAGAAATTTGTGTTATAGAACATGATTTTTTTCATCGAATCAGCTCAGTGGTAAAATGCATGATGAGAAACAAAACAAATTCTCATTGAAATAGTCAGAATTTTGTTTTTTTCTGTAATGAAAACATTACTGTCTTCTCTTTTCTCACTGATTCAATCAAAATATCTGTGAGAACATTTTTCAATGGGAAGATAGTGATTTTTTAGTAGTGGTTGAACTGAAGCATTTAGCTGATGATATAAACAAATTGTAGAAAACTGTTGCATCTCCTGGTCGTGGAATTTTGGCTATGGATGAGTCGAATGCTACCTGTGGGAAGCGTTTAGATTCAATCGGACTAGAGAACACCGAAGCTAATCGCCAAGCATACAGAACCCTTCTTGTTTCAGCTCCAGGACTTGGTAACTACATTTCAGGTGCCATCCTTTTTGAGGAGACACTTTACCAGTCCACTGTTGATGGAAAGAAAATTGTTGATGTACTTCTTGAGCAGAACATTGTTCCTGGAATTAAGGTTGACAAGGTAAAAATACATCATCATCATCACTACTATATATGCACACTTAGTTGTTTAACAAGTTTTAATTAGTTATGATTCATTTAATGATAACTACAGGGTTTAGTTCCTTTGGCTGGTTCAAACAATGAATCTTGGTGCCAAGGTCTTGATGGCCTTGCCTCGCGCTCTGCTGCTTACTACCAACAAGGCGCTCGTTTTGCTAAATGGTAGCATATCATTCTACTCTCTTGTATATAAATTTTACCTCAATGAAGAAGCAAATGCTTACTTTTATTTAATCATTACGCATCTTACAGGCGTACTGTGGTGAGCATTCCCAATGGTCCTTCTGCACTTGCAGTTAAGGAAGCAGCCTGGGGTCTCGCTCGCTATGCTGCAATTTCTCAGGTAAGCAATGATGTCTCTATTTGTGATGCAATGTCTCTATTTGTTTGGGGTTGTCAACATGATTATTTTCGTGGCAATTATATATTGTAGGACAATGGGTTGGTACCAATTGTTGAGCCAGAGATTTTGCTTGATGGTGAACATAATATCGATAGGACCTTTGAGGTTGCTCAACAGGTGTGGGCTGAAGTTTTCTTCTACCTGGCCGAAAACAATGTCATGTTTGAAGGTATCCTGTTGAAGCCTAGCATGGTCACCCCCGGAGCAGAATGCAAGGAGAGGGCCACCCCAGAACAAGTTGCTGATTATACCCTCAAGCTCCTCCAACGAAGAATTCCCCCTGCTGTCCCTGGAATCATGGCAAGTACCTAAAAAAGTCGTATTTACATAATAAGTTTTTTTAACTTATATACACTGAGAACTAACTATTTAATTATTGATGATGGTTTGCTATGTACAGTTCTTGTCTGGTGGACAATCTGAAGTGGAAGCTACTCTTAACTTGAACGCGATGAACCAATCTCCCAACCCATGGCACGTATCGTTCTCATATGCTAGAGCCCTTCAGAACACATGCCTCAAGACATGGGGTGGAAGACCAGAAAATGTTCAGGCAGCTCAGGAAGCTTTGCTTACTAGAGCAAGTGCCAACTCTCTCGCGCAACTAGGCAAATACACCGGTGAAGGTGAGTCTGAGGAGGCCAAGAAGGGAATGTTTGTGAAAGGATATGTCTACTGAGATATTAGAAAGTATGTACTACTGCATGTTTTCATGATCGAGTTTGCGGTGCATAAAAGCTTATAGCTAGCTCCTCAAGAATATTGTCTTTGTTCATATAACATGTACCTTTAGCAATTATTGACATTCAGTTTCAGTTTTATGCTATTCATTGAATTCTTCTACAGATTAAGAAGCAGTGTGCCAAATGCCATAAAATCAATTTCTCTGGCGCATATATATTTGTAAACACATTATGTGCCTATCTATGTTTTACGACTTCACTGATAGTAGCTTAATTACCGCTAAATATTTCTTTTTACAAACAATTAGCACTCTTTATAAATTAACTAACATTCGTTAAGGTTTTAGCAAAGCAACTATGAGATTAATCTACGCATTACTATTATTTGTACTTCTTATCAACTTTATTCACTTGATTTAAAGCTTATAGATATTAATAAATTTCCTCGATAATCCAAGAAAATTATATCCACCTCAATAAAAGATAAAGACTAATTATAAGATGGTAAAATTCTTTTCTCAATGTAGGGAAAAGACAAAAAGTAATTTCGACTCTTTGCTTTTGACCTTCTTTTAGGAATGAATATACTTAGAATAAGATTTATTTCACATTCTAAGAGTTTTTGTGTTTAACCTTGCATCTCCAAGTTTAATTAAAGTAAGCATAATATTTAAATGTGCCTTTTGATTTTGCCTTATTTCATATTTATGTCTTCAAATTTTGAGTGTACACAAGTAGACACTTATATTTATGTAAAGTTGAACAAGTAGACATATAAGTCCTATATAACATAATATACGTAGGACGCAAATTGCCATGTAGGATGCCACATAAGACGAATGTGTCTATTTGTTCAATTTATACAAGTTTAAGTGCCTAAATCTGCACACCCAAAGTTAGAAGACATAGATGTCAGTTGAGACTAAAGACCCGTTTGGCTATGCGATATGAAATCATGATATGCAATTATGAGATGAAGTTGAAGTTTTGTTTGGACATACGATCTGGACTTTTTATGTTGTATTTTTCTCATAAACATAAAACCTTCATAGGTTGTAAAAGTTAAAACTATCAAAATTGTCCTAATTGTTTATACAATTTTACCAAATAAACAAAAGTTTATAAAATTGCACTATACATTATTACAAAGCTATTCTAAAAACATACAACATTTATTGATCAAACCTTAATTCAATAAAAAATAAAAATTGAACATAAGTTGTAGTGTTCAAGTTGTTAGTAGCTTATAAAATTATTTTTGCAATTAATGCCACAATGATTAGTCTTGTCCACTCAGTATAATGATGATTTTTTTTTTAATTATGAAACATTGATTTGAATGAAGTAGTAATAAATTTGATAAGAAATAATATTTGGTGAATGTAAATGGTAAATTAAGAATTGATTTGAACCAATATTTTTTTTATATTGGAGAGAATAATCATTATATGAGATATAAACGGTTTAAAAAGTAATAATATGAATTATAAGTTTTATTTACATATGAAACAAATGACTAGTAGATATATATATAAATTAAATATGAGTTATTTTTACAAAATATAAACTTGTGAGTCAATTTTTTGTATTTGAAAAATTCCATGGAAAATTTGGGATTTTATCTCATGATATGAAATCAGCGTGAAACCACATGTCCAAACACTGATTTTATCTCATAGCCAAACACCTACTAAGTTAAATGACACATTTATGTAATGAAAGAAAAGTGTATTTTCCCATATATTTTCCAACTCATGTTGAAGGCCCAGTCATTTGGCCACTATTTCCAGCATGAAATCCCCAACAGCCCATTTTAAGAGCAGTATGCTACGGCCCAAGAAAGCCCATGTTCATAGTGTATATTACTCCCACATCGGCTACAATTGAAGAAGTAGAAGCAGAAACCACTATAAAACCAGCTCCTGCGCCAACTAACAAATTCACGCAGCCACGCAATGAGCACAAAGCAAACTATTCTTTCGCCTTTTACTAAAGAATACTGTGTGTGCGTTGCAAATAGTGGCATACGCCAATTTTTGGAGGGATTCTCTTAATTGAGAACCCCAACAATACTAGTTCAATCATACGCCAATTTTTGGAGGGATTCTCTAAATTGAGAACCCCAACAATACTAGTTCAATCTTTTACAAGTTGCTTGTATGTGCAAATTATATTCTTGAAAGCTTGCTTTCTACTAATATGAGAAGGAAAATGTTGTACATGTTCTTTAAATGCCAGACTAGATATTTGTTTCTACAGAGAAACTAATTATATTTGAATCGAAAGTTTTTTCTGACTTTTTACGTAAAGTTTTGCCTTGTCTATAATTGGTGCTAGTAAATCTGCAGTTAAAAGGAAAAGAGTTTTGCTCATGAATCTCGGGAGGGTTACCCTAGGCCTTCAGGTCCTCTTAAACTTTTGTGTTTAGGTCCTCTTAAACTTTTGTGTTAGCGATGTAGAGTAACAACTTGTTGGTTGCTCAAAAGTTTATTTCAAAAAAATTTACATACGACTTTTGAAAGACAATAAACATGAGTAATTTGATAGCCAATTAGATATATTTTGAGTAATCATTGAGCTCTAAAATATAAGACCAATGCTTGCAATAATTTATAGAATTTTAAAACATACTATTTTTTCTTTCTCAATTTATGTGACACTTTTCATTTTTCGAGAGTCAAATAATTTAAGTTTGATCAGAAATTTGTGCATGGAATCTTCAATTTTTTTGAAATGAAATTTATATATTTGTAAACTACGTAAAAAGTACTACAAGTCATAATAATTAAAAGATATATGAAAAATTTAGTGTAAGAAAATAGAGTTGTTTAAATTTCGAAATCCACAAGTGCTACTTTAGCCTTCAGAAGGCTATTTGCTTAAATAACGTTCCAAATGAAATGTCTGGCGATAATTTCACGGTTTAGTTTTGCTGCAAAACACAAAGGAAAGAAAAAGAAGAGAAATTAGGACAAATTAGGCAAAAAAAAAACAAAAAACAAAAACCCAACTTCCCTTTTTCTTCGGTAAAAGAAGAAAAAAAGAAACTTTCTATCTGCCTTTTTTTGTTTTTTTTTATGCTGTGATTCTCAAATTCAATCCTTATATATATTCTCTACTGTTATTTTAGATCTATTTCCTTCTCTTTCTCTTTTTCTCTGTTATTATCAAATTTCCAACCAAAGGAGAAAAGAGAAAGAGAGGTTCTTTTTTCTTCAAACGTTATCATATCAAATTTACCAGAAAAACAAAAAAAAAAATATACTCAAAAAATTAATTGATCTTCTTAAATATTATCGTTACGTACATTGTAAGAAATTGGACCATAATTTTTATAAGAAAATACATCCAATTTATTTTTGAGAGTGCATGATCATTTCCAATAATATAATGAGATTTTTGGTTTAGAGAAAAAATAAAATGGAGGATCGTGAAGAGAGGATTTATGTATCCGCGAGGTTAAGAACATTGAATGAAAAAGAGAGAAATGATGTTTCTGATTGGGAATGTATGAATGACACAACTATTATCTACAACAATGTTAGCTCTTCCCCATCCGAACGTATAATGTATCCTTCTGCATATACCTTTGGTATGTCCTTACATTTTATTCATATTATTTTTCAGTATTTAACCAACATCTTTGAACCTGAAATTTCTAATGGTGATATCATCTTCATGAATTTTCTCTCTCTTCTTTTGTTCTCTCCGTACAAGTCTAAAAGTCTTGGCCCTCAACGGTAATATCTAAGAAGGTAACGGGCATTTTTTCACCGTATGGAGCCGCCGGATGGGGCTTCTCCGGTGGGAATTCAGCCGCAGGCGACTCTTCACAATGGAGCGTCCTCTTCTAGGGGTATTACCAATGGAAAACAGACCTTCGCGACCACTGTCACTATGGCAAATCAAACTTCGAAAACTGTCAGACACCCTCGTGAATCAGTAATCGCAAAAATCACCACCCACAATGGGATTCCAGCGGTTATTTTCAAGGCAACAGACTACTATGGGATAATGGCGGATGAGTGTAAGTTCACTATAGTTGGCAGATTTTTAAAGACAAGACCCCAAATTGATCGAATTAGGTCAAGCTTCAAGGAGCTTTTCGCAATTAGGGGTTCTGTTAAGATCGGCGTGTACGACAACCACAATGTGTTTTTGGATTTTACAAATGAAGATGACTTCAATATGGTTTGGTACAGAAGGGTTATCGAAATGGAAGGACTCCAAATGTGGTTGCAGAAATGGACCCCCGACTTTAAGCCGGAAGAAGACATCCCTGTAGCACCAGTGTGGGTTCTTCTACCAGGTTTGCCTTTCCACATGCATACATGGCATTATATTAAACAAATCGTTAGCTCGGTTGGAACTCCTTTAGGTATGGATGGGGCGACTAATGGTAGAACTAGGCCGAGCATGGCTAAAGTTAGAGTTGAAGTTGATTTGCTTAAACCCCAACCAAACACTGTTTGGGTGGGTTTGGAAGATGATAAATGTCCATTGAGAGGCTTCAATCAAAAACTAGAATACGAGAATATCCCTAAATATTGCAAGCACTGTAGAAAAATGGGACATAATGTGATGAACTGTTGGATTTTGGAAAAAGTCAGGAGTAATGGCAAAAAGGGAAGTGTTTTGAAAGAAAATCAGGCTGATGTGAATCTGGAGAACTGTGAGGAGGATACTAGCAAGGTTGAGATTGTACAAGAAGAGAAAAAAAATTCTGATGAGGAGGATACTAGCATGGTTGAGATTATACAAGAAGAGCAAAAAAATTCTGATGAGGAGAATACTAGCAAGGTTGAGATTATACAAGAAGAGCCAAAAAATTCTGATGAGAAGCAAACTTTGGCAGAGAAACTTAGTGAGATCAAGAGCAAAATCAGAAGTAAGAAGAAGAAGAATAAGGTGCCAAAAAAGAGGAGCAAGGTTATGTTCAAACCTGCTATATCTAGCATCAAAAGAGGCAGAAGAAAGAAACACAATGATGGGCAGCTGAGAACTGAAACTGTTGAACATGTTGAACCTAGCGAGTCTGTGGAACTTGTGGATGTTGGGCAATCACAGAAAGTTGTAGCAGCAGAAAATAGTACCAGCATTAGTGAGGGCAATGGCATAAGGAAAAATGACAATACTATGGTTGATAACACTAAGAAAAGAGTGGAAAACACACATCAAAAAGAAAAATCTGATGACAATGAGAAAATTATTTCCACAAACCTTCATCGTGAGTTGATAAATCAAGAACCAGTTGAATTGAACTGTGAGCATGTCGGTAATCAGATAGCAAAGCAACCTATCACTAACCTAGAGGACAACAACACTTACATAGAAGAGACAGACTATGATGAATCCAGTAACAGGGAAGGGGAAGGTACACAGATGCAAAATGATGGAGCTCAAACCAACAACGAGAATATCACTGAAACTAGAGGCAGAAGCAAGGAAAGGAAAAAAGGAAAAAGGAAAAAAAAAACAAACAAAGATGTGACTAACTCTCCTGGAAAAATAATAGAACAAGCTCAAAAGAGGTCTCCCCAGATCATTGATGAAACAACAGAGCCTCCCGATGCTATTCTTAGTGAAGATGTTGACTTGCTAAATGATGGAACTTCTCTTAATAAAAAGGAGAAACTCGCACAGATTCAAAAAAATGATTCTATAAACAAAAGATTAGTGTCAAAGCTTCAGGAGGCAGAACTTCACAAAGGGAAAAAGAAAAAAGATTCTAAGAAAGAGCTAGCTCAACTTCCAAATGAAGAGAACAAAACAAAACCCTCCCATAGTATTCCATGATTAGTACAATCTTTTGGAATATTAGGGGAATGAGGTCCAAAAAAGCGAATCACAGAATCAAATACTTGGTCCACATTAACAAGGTGGTTTATTTGGCTATCCTAGAACCTCTGGTTAATAAGACTAAGATTGAGGGATATAGGAAATTTCTTGGATTCCAATATTGTCTGGCTAACACTAATGGCAAGATTTGGTGTTTTTGGAATCACCTAGATCAAGCTGATGTCATAGCCAATGAAGAACAACACATTACCATCAATTTCAAAGATAGAAATGGCGCTAACAGTAGGTATGTATCTGCTATTTATGCCAAATGCACTGACGGAGATAGAAGAGACTTATGGGACAGCGTGGAAAATATTAGTAGCTCTATTAATGATCCATGGTGTGTAGGAGGGGACTTCAATGATATCATGGACCCTGATGAAAAGTTTGGAGGCAAACCTCATAGGGCTAACAGATGATTTGACTTTATTAGCACTATGGAGGCTTGTGGTCTATCTGATTTGGGTTTTGTTGGACCTAAATATACATGGTGCAATAATAGAAGACCTAGTAAAAGAATTTGGAAAAGGCTTGATAGAGTTTTTGTTAATGATCTATGGGCTCAAAGTTATCATACCAATACCATCAAGCATTTAGCTAGGACGGGCTCCGATCATAGGCCTCTTCTCATGCAAACCCTTTCCAATCAAAACGACTTCATCAGATACTTTAGATTTTTAAACTTATGGACTCAACAGTCAAGCTTTTTGGAGACTGTTCAAAACTCTTGGAACATGAATGTGACAGGCAATGCAATGTGGAGACTCCAGTGTAAGTTAAAGGCTCTTAGCAAAAATCTCAGTAAATGGTCTAGAGAGACCATTGGGGATATTCATGAGCAGGTTAACAAATGGGAGACCAGAGTCCAACTTCTTGAAGAATTGGACACTCTAAACAACAATGAACAAAGCAGGGAAGATTTGAACAGGGAGCATGCAGAATATGTTAAATGGCTTGGAATGCAGGATGCTTTACTAAAGCAAAAAACTAGAATCAATTGGTTCAAAGATGGGGACTACAACAGTAATTATTTTCACAGTGTGCTAAGAGGCAGAAGAAAGAGACTTCTTATTCACAGAATCAAAGACCACAGAGACAACTGGATTGAAGGGGACAATTTGATTGCAAGGGCTGCTATTAGACATTACAAGAATCTCTTCAATATGGGGCAACCTAACCTGGACAGTGGCACTTTGGATTGCATACCAAAGCTGATTACTGAAGAGGATAATGATATGCTTCACAGAGCCCCTGTGGAGGATGAAATTAAAAATGCCGTGTTCAGTATGAGTGCAGATAGCAGTGCAGGACCTGATGGCTTTAACGGTAAGTTTTTTCATACATGTTGGGATATTATCAAATATGATGTTTGTGACTTTGTTGCTGAATTTTTCTCTGGAAAAAAACTCACTAAATACTTCACTCACACGTGTTTGGCTCTTATCCCTAAAGTTGAGTCCCCTTCTAATTTTTCTGAATTAAGGCCTATTAGCTTAAGTAATTTTTCTAACAAAATTGTTTCTAAAATTCTAGCTAGAAGGCTCAATCCTATTTTGCATAGACTCATATCTGTTAATCAAAGTGGTTTCATTCCGGGCAGATTGATTACTGAAAATGTCATGCTTGCTCAAGAAATTATTCATGGTATGTCTAAGCATAATACTGGTGGTAATATTGTCATCAAATTAGATATGGCTAAGGCATATGATAGAATGGCCTGGAATTTCCTAATGGATGTTCTTAGAAGATTTGGCTTCTCAGATAAATGGATAAATTTAGTGTGGAATTTAATTTCTAATGTGTGGTATTCTATTTTGATTAATGGATCTAGAAATGGTTTTTTCTCCTCTGCTCAAGGTTTAAAACAGGGTGATCCTCTGTCCCCCTCTTTATTTATTTTGGGTGCTGAGGTCCTCTCTAGAACTTTGAATAGTTTACTTACTCATGATAATTTTATCCCTTTCTCGATGCATCAAAGAGGTCCTCAGATTAACCATTTAGCATATGCTGATGATATTGTTATTTTCAGTAGTGGTAAGAGTAAATCTGTTAAGCTCATCATGAAACAGATCAACAACTATGAGAAAGCTTCAGGGCAAGAAGTCAATAAGAATAAAAGCTTCTTTTTGACTAACCCTAAGGCTAGTGCTTACAGAATCAACAGGATGAGACAATGTACTGGTTTTTTGGAAAAGAACTTCCCTTTTACTTACTTGGGTTGCCCGATCTATATTGGTAGGAAAAAGATTTCTTACTTTGATGGTATGGTTACAAAAGTGGTAAAAAGACTCAATGGTTAGCAGGGTAAGATGCTTACCTATGGAGGTAAAACCGTGTTGATCAAAAGTGTTCTTCAATCACTCCCTATTTATACTCTCTCAGCGATTAATCCTCCCATTGGTACTATTAATCTGTTAGAAAAGCATTTTGCACGATTCTTTTGGGGTTTTAATGAGAACAGAGACAAGCACCATTGGAGATCTTGGAAAAATCTGTGTGTTCCTAAAGATGAAGGTGGTATAGGTATTAGAAACATGGATGACATCTCTAAAACCTTGGCAGTTAAAAGATGGTGGAGATTTAGAACCAATAAATCTCTCTGGGCTTATTTTATGAAAGCTAAGTATTGTCACAGAGTTCACCCTTCTGTTAAAGCTTGGACCTCTGGTAATTCACAAGCTTGGAAGTTCATGGTCAATGCTAGACAAGTTGCTGAACCTAACATTTTCTGGAAAATTAACAGTGGTAGTTGTAATATGTGGTGGGACAATTGGTGTGAGAAAGGGCCTCTGGCTATTCTGTACCCTGACCATGTGCATAACAACAACGCTAAGGTTATGGACTATATTGATGGTGGTAACTGGAACATGAATAAATTAAAGGAAGATCTCCCCGAACATATAGTCCTATTTATTGCCGACATTCCTATTGGGGATGCTAATGATAATGACTATGCTGTTTGGAACATTACTCAGGATGGCAAATACACAAATTCTTCTGCTTGGCAAAGCATAAGAGAAGTGAGACAAAAAGATGGCATCCTAAGTAAGGTTTGGCACAATTGCTTACCTTTCAAAATATCGTTTCTTACCTGGAGAATGATGCTCAAAAAACTACCGTTTGATGAGGTACTTCAAAGGTTTGGTAATCCAATGGATACCAAATGCCTATGTTGCACAATACCTCAAAATGAATCAATTCAACATGTGTTTAGTGATAGTGAGATGGCTAAGCATATATGGAATTACTTTGGAAACCCCCTTGGAATTAATCACCAAGGAGGCAACATTAAAATTCTTTTCAATGCTTGGTGGAATATGAACACTGCCAACAGTGTGCATAAAATGGTACAACAAATCACTCCCATGTGTATAGCATGGGAAATCTGGAAAAATTGGACATCTTGTAGATATGGAGATCAGACTAAATATTTGATATCTAGAATGGAAGTGCAAATTTTATGGAACATCAAAGCAGCTATTTGTGTTGCCTTCCCAACTTGTGACTTAACAGGAAAATGGGTTCAAATTTGCACAAGAATTGAAAGGTACAAACCTATTGTAAGATGGAGGCAAGTTGTTTGGACCAAGCCTGCAACCGGAAGGATCAAATTCAACACAGATGGAAGCTATATGCAAGAAAGTATTCCCAGGGCAGGCATTGGAGGGGTTCTCAGGAATGACACTGGTCATCTCATTATGGCTTTCTCAGTCCCAACTCAATGTAAAAGCAACAATCAGGCAGAAGCAATGGCAGCACTCTATGCAATAGAATGGTGTAATCGAGCTGGATACGACAAATACGATCTGGAGCTGGATTCAATGGTGATCACAAGTATGCTCGAAGAAAAAGACACCAACAATCTGAAGCTGAAAAACATTATCAAACGAACTGTCAACGCCATGGAAGGGGCAGAAGTGAGCATCTCACATTGCTATAGAGAAGCCAACCAGGTGGCTGACTTCCTTGCCAAATTAGCTTCATCAAGTGGAAATGGTACCTTCTACTTCTCTTATCAACAACTCCCGAAAGAAGCGAAGGGACTCTTTCAACTGGATAGATGGCAACTACCTTGTATAAGAAGAAAATATGACAAATGTAATTTTTTTGTTAGTTGAATCCTGTAATTTGCTTGAGTGGAAGGTTATACGTCTGTTGCCTTCCCTTTTTTGATGTCTTAATTTCCATTTTCTATTTTTGCCAGAGGTTAGGTACATGCCCCCCTCTGTTTTTGTGTAATTATGTTGGAAATTAAAAAAAAAAAAAAAAAAAAGTATTTAATCGAATACATATGCTAATTCTACAAATGATGATAATTGTTTATATTATGAAGTTTATGAGCTGAGGGTCTTTTGAAACAGCCTCTCTACCTCCAACGAGGTAGGGGTTCCAGACTCCTCTTATAGGATTACACTGGATATGTTTGTTGCTGTGATGTTTAATTTAGAATTCTTAAATGAGGCTTCAGCTTAATGGTATTTGTTTAACTGTGATTGATCAATAATCCAAGTTTGGGAAGAGTTCTGTTTGTAGCATCAACAAATCCTGTTTTACGATATTATCACATGTTAATCAAGTAAATGACATAGTTTCTCTGTGTGGACGATATTGTGTTATTGGTTTATGATTTTGTTTTAGACAGGGTATTTAGCAGTGATTGCTCGACAAGACAGGTGTATGAAGAAGCAGCTAAAGAAGTTGCTCTTTCGGTTGTCAAAGGATTCAATTGTGAGTAATTTCAGCTGTGTCTGCTTATAGTTTTTGGAACATCTAGTCCATGTCCTGTATTATTAATCGGAAAGTATTTATGTATCGACTAGCAAGTGTTCTTGCCTATGGACAAACAAGCAGCGGAAAGACATACACTATGACTGGAATAACTGAATATGCTATAGCAGATATCTATGAATACGTGAACAAGGTAACCAAATGCTACTTCATGATCGATCATTATCACCACTTCTTATGTTTCAAGAGTTTTGGCTTTGCTCTAATGATCAAAATTCACTACTTATTGTAGCACACAGAAAGAGACTTTGTTTTGAAGTTTTCTGCTATGGAGATATACAATGAATCTGTCCGAGATCTCCTTAGTGAAGATAACACTCCACTCCGTCTTCTAGATGATCCAGAGGTTAATTAGTTTGATTTACTGATCAACAAAGTTATAGTCATTTTGTGTTCTTTTGTCTCGTTTTAAAATCATGTAGAGTAATTTCAACAGAGAGGGACTGTTATTGAGAAACTCACCGAGGAAACATTGAGGGACTGGAGCCATGTGATTCATCTCCTTTCTATTTGTGAAGGTAAGAGAATGAGTAACCATGAATTTTAAACATAACCATGGTTTTGAATTTTACGACTAAATGTTGCAGCTCAGAGACAGATTGGGGAGACTTCCTTGAATGAAACAAGCTCTAGATCTCACCAAATCATCAGACTGGTAAAACAGCTGAGATTTCTTGTCTAACAGGCTATTGAGCTTTAAAACCACCAGATTTTTGACGTATAAGTTGTTGCAGACAATTGAAAGTTCTGCTGGTGAGCACATAGGCAGGGACAACGATTCGAGTACCCTTTTAGCTACTGTGGTACGAAAATGTTTCTCTCATGCCGAACAGTATAGAGTGTTGATATAATAATGTACTGAGGTAACAACTGATTGTTTTATCATTTGAACACAGAATTTTGTCGATTTGGCTGGAAGTGAGCGGGCATCTCAGTCATTGTCAGCTGGTACAAGGCTGAAAGAAGGCTGTCACATAAACCACAGTTTACTGACCCTTGGGACTGTTATTCGTAAGCTAAGGTTGTTTAATTTTCTTGCAGTCTTAATCGAGTTTAACATGATTATTAAACAGGTCTATAAGAAGGGATTAAATCCTGTTATGCTTGTGTTAAAGACTTAAAGTTGTACATTATGCATAGCTTTCTAATCAGTTGCATCAAAATCTGAAATGGAAACCAGTTTTAAGCATGACATACCGCCTTTGATCACTGTCGATGAATTTGGAAAGTGAAACTATTTCAAGTTTTTTGTATACTTAATGCAGCAAGGACAGGACCGGCCACATTCCTTTCCGAGATTCAAAGCTAACGCGGATATTACAGCCATCATTGGGTGGCAACGGTAGAACTGCCATCATCTGTACAATTTGCCCTGCACGAAGTCATGTTGATCAAACAAGGAATACTCTACTGTTTGCAAGTTGTGCCAAGGAAGTAACTACAAATGCCCAAGCGAATATCGTCATGTCAGATAAAACATTAGTGAAGCATTTGCAGAGGGAGTTGGCAAGATTGGAAAGTGAGTTAAGGTATCCCAGAGCTTGCATATTCCCTTCAGATTACGAAGCATTACTGCAAGAGAAGGACCATCAAATACAACAGGTAATGCATCTTGATGACACTAATAAGTATTTGCAAACATGTTAAGGTAATCTGTTTTTATGGAAGGCACAATTTTGGTACAAGAACAAAATAAACGTCATCATATACTAAACTAATATAACAGTTGAAGGTCCAAATTCAACGACGGAAGAAGTATACAGATAATTGAGATTTTCAGATGTACCCTCCATTATATATCTAGGATGTTAATAGTTGTTTTATTTCGTAAATGAAGCATGTCTATCATTACCCCTGACATGCTATTTGATGTCTCTCTTCGTTATCAACTTAAATTACAAGTTCATTATCCTGATTATTTTACAAATGCACTGCTGTTTGACATCTTGAATCCTTGATCAATTTTTCCTTCTCTTATAGCTGGAGAAGGAGATAAAGGACTTAATTTTGCAACGCGACATTGCTCAGAGTCAAGTTAAAGATCTGTTGAAGCTGCTTGGGGATGATGTAATACAGGTAGATGGAATTTAATAGACTCTACTAGTTTATACATTTGCTTATTCTATTCTAAAGATACTTTTTTCGCATATTTCACAGGTTGGTTTCGGACACTACCCAAATTTACGTGTGAAGAGATCACCAGATTATCAAAGCCCAATGCAACAGATTTCCATTTTGAGAGACACCCGTCACGTAGATGTTGATGTTAGAGCACGTTCAATTGGACATAGCAGGTGTAACTCTGAGGATCAGTTTATACACGTGTCAGAATTTGATGAAACCATCTTTCGCAACAATGCATTTCCAATGCTATTAGTTGGCAGTTCAAATAATAGCAGAACTGATTCATGTCCGGGATGGGATGAAGCTGAAAAACAAAGTAATGAGACTTCTGAAGAACTATGCAGGGAACTTCGTTGCATTGAAACAGACGAATCAAGTATGAAGGGAACACAAATATTCAATTGTTCACTTCCTGTAGAAAATGGTGGCTTTCCAGCTTTACTAACCATTATAAATGGGGAGAGAACGAATCACGGAACAATATCACATCTTGAAAATGGACACAGAAGATCAGTGACATCTCCATACAAGGAGAATGGGGAGTCGAAATCATCACACTTTAAAGAAGACCAAGAATCGGTGTCATCATCATTTTTCGAGGAAGGTAGGAAGTCCAATAGAGATACAATGTCATTTCCCTTAGGGATTGAGCAAGCCCTTGAATCACCAAAGTGCAAGGACAACAAAGAGCCGCCCGTGACATTGTTGTTAAAAGAAGAGAAAAATTCAGACTGTGTTCATTCCTCAAATGCTCCTCCAGAAAAATTATCCTCACCGTGTGATCTTAATGATGATTTATCATGCAATAGAAATTTGAAGTTATGTAAAAGTACAAGTTGCAAGGCTAGCATAATTACTGATCGATATTCTCCATGCTCAGATGAATCCAACAGAACTGATGTTAAGTGTTCTTCAAGAAATGGTTCCACAAATATTGAACTTGAAGTTCCAAAAAGGAAACCTTTAACTGATGAGGAGGTCAAAGATGCTGATGGCGCATGCAATGCAATGACGAAGAAAATGGATGAGCTTCAACATAAAACGAGTGTCAAAGATTGTCCGGTGAGTACACTCTCTCATCTTAGAAAGCAACTTTTTACATTTCTCTAGTCTTATGTTTTCGTACTCCAATCATTCATGCGGGTGGATGACAAAAACTTATATCCTCAGTTTACTGGTTGATACTTCTAGATCCTTAGAGGAAGACCTTTCTTTCACATTTGCTTTTATCTGGAATGAGAAGGTTCCTATCAGAAATATTTATGCAGATGTCTTCACTTAATAACGGAATCTAATAGAAACTTGCATTTGGTACTGTCAGATGATATTCCTTGAGATTATGATATATGCATTCGTACCGTACCTTGATGGTGCTGACTAGAAGATTACATCCTTCATTTTAACATTATATTGGAGGCGAATCCAGGATTTTTAGTTTATGTGTTCTGGATCATAATTTCTAATACTTACTGGATTCTGGATTATAGGTGCAACTTATGTCCATTGGTTTAATGCAGAAATAGAGGGAACCTAATCTTATTTTAATTTGTTAATGATTTATCCTTGTATGTCACAGGTTCAGGAGGCTGAACCAGAACATGATACAACTTCAAAGAGCGTGAGAGATGCTGAGCCAGCAGAAGATGATTACAAAAGTCGTTACAGTTGGCCCTCTGAATTCAAGAGACTTCAAAAAGAGATTATTGAACTTTGGCATACTTGTAATGTATCCTTGGCACACAGATCATACTTCTTCCTTCTCTTCCAAGGTGATTCAACGGATGCTATATATATGGAGGTTGAAATTAGAAGATTAACCTCCCTTAAGGACACATTTTCACGTGGTGAGAAAACAGTTTCCAGTGGTAGGACTTTGTCACTCGAGGGAAGGTAATATACTTGAAACTTCATTTCACGGTGTTTCCTTGCAAATAGATGTCATATGAAAATGAATTGTTCACAATTTATCCATTTATATGTATACTTACTTATGATGTGTTCATTTTCACAGCAAGAAAGATATTCGAGAGGAGAGACGGATACTGAGCAAGCAAATGGAGAAAAAGTTGAGCGAAGCAGAACGAGAAGGGCTATATGTTAAGTGGGGAATTGGGATCAATAGCAAAAGAAGAAGGTTACAGTTGGCAGAGAAATTATGGAGTAAAACAGATGATATGAACCACATTGCAGATAGTGCCTACTTGGTAGCAAAGCTGGCTGGCTTCATGGAACCAGGAAAAGGTCCTAAAGAGATGTTTGGACTTGATTTTCCAGGATCAAGTACAAGTTACAGTTTCAAAACAGGCCTCAAATCTCTTTTGTAATATTTGCTGATATATATATATAGTCTCATATCTATTTTTCTTTGATTCTAATGTTAGTTGAGCTTTTTTGTTATGCTGATTGTAATTAGCTTTAGTTTTGTACATTACTCATGATTGGAGAAAGTGTAACATCCAAATGCCATTTGGCTTAATATATGACCACTCCCTTAGGATATTCCATTTAGATACTGAAACTAAGCTTTGTTTCGATTCAACTAATAAAGTATTTCAATTTTAGTTATATGTTTTAGGAAATATCAATTTTCAGCATAGATTCAACTGATGCTAGCTCCCAGCCCAAACAATGGACGTTGTTTTGACGAATCATTTTGCACGTAAAGCTTTAATTCTCGAAATCCATAATGCAGATCACAATAAATAAATAAATCATGAAACCAGAATCATTTTCATAATCATAATGACATAATACAAATAATAGCTAGATAAGTACCATGATTCTGTAATCACACAGCATATCAAGTTTAAATATGAGATAGCCTAATTAATGGCCTCTTTAGAAGGGAAAATAACAATTTCATCACTTGGAAGGAAATGACAAATAGGGGTAGTTCCAGGCTTAACATTGAGCATTACAAAAGGTAATCCCTTTGGAGTCCAAAAAGATGTATCTTGGTGGCATACTGATAGTGCTTTAACTTTTGTTCCATCAACACCTATCATAGATACCATGAATGTCTTCGTTCTTCCTCCAACATGACAATAGTGCACAGCGTATGGATAGTTTACTTTGTGACATACCATGTTGTTCCCATCCGCTATTTGTTCAACTTTTTCCATAGTGTATTTCTGAAATATTTGACTACTTTCCCCTTGTACCTCTGTTGTAATTGCTTGGATATTGTTTGTTCCTAGCTCGGATAACATGAAATCTACCATCGACTCCAATGAGGTTGCACAAAATTTCTTCTCTTTATGGAGATCTGGCTCTTCACATAAATTGATTGTTTCCTTGATTATTTGAGCATCCTTTGACTTACTATCGATTGAGAAATAATTTAGAATTTCAGGGATTTTTTCCGATGAGAAGGGAATGGTTGATTGGCGAGGCAAAAATGGTGCATCATTTTTATGTTTCAAAGAGGGAAAGTTGATGATATTTCCTTTCTTCAAGTCATTTTCGAAGAAGTAAGGTTTGTAAAGAAAATTATTGTCATCGTCTTTTAGTTCATGAATCTCTGCCTGTGTAGCAGCATGATGCCAAGGGACCAGTCCAGAATCAATGTTACCGCGGTATACTTTTTGATCGTCTTTCAATTGATGAATCTCGTCCTCTGTAGCAGCATGATGCCAAGGGACCAGTCCAGAATCAATGTTACCGCGGTATACTTTCTGATTACTGTTGAAATTATGATCTACAAATTAAACTCTCAGGTCAAATTGGCTTACATAGCAAACAGAGCAATATACTTTTTAGAGAAGTCAGTTTATGTCATATATATAAAATTAAACAGATTCGTAATGTTAAAGCAAAATGCATGGAGTTGAAGAAAAACCTGTGTGGGGAAGAGAATCTTTGATCACTTTAGGCATCTGCGTGTTGGGCAATTTTACTTTCCAATAAACTTCCGAAGATATTGCTGCATGACTTACTATGAATGCAAGCTACATATATATAAAAAGAGAATTAAATTTTCAATCAATAGAGGAAAAAACACATGTATATAAGTGGGAATTTACTCACCCAAGAGAATGAGATCAAGTAAAGGAACTGAGACTTCATTAAAAAAATTTAGAATCGCTAGAAGGGCTTTGAAATTTTAGATGGAATGAGAACAGAAAATATCATATATATAGGCACAAAATTAGACTTTAGTGGTCTTCATATATCTTAGGCATGAATGTAACATGTGACATCAAAAAGGTCATCAAATATACGTTTGATCATGCTTTTGATAAAATTACTTTTATTTTTTATTTTTTCTATAAGAAATAGATTTTTAGTGATTTTCATATATTTTAAGCATGAATGTTACATGTGACATCAAAAAGTCATGAAATATATGTTTGATCATGCTTTTGATAAGCTTACTTTTTTGCTTTAACTATAAGAATTAAATTTTAGCTTTCTACATAGGCATGAATGTTACATGTGACATAAAAAAGGTCATGAAAATATATCTTTGATCATGCTTTTGATAAGATTTTTTTTAAAATTGAAGTGCTTGACCAAATTTTTAGGATAAAAATAAGTGTTTCTGAAAATTTTTAAAAGTTATTTTTTAAGAACTTGCAATATTCATAGAGTTCCTTTAACTACAATTTTTAATCAATATGCTAACAAATTTTCCAAAGTGATATTTCAAGAATCTAATTGAATTAAAATTAATGACATTGTTAATTTTTTAGAAAAATGTTGTCACTGTAGAAAGTGGTTCCCCTGATTGTTGCCCTACGCCATCGCAAATCGAAATAGTCAAACTCTAACTACAAATACCTAACACTTTTGAGAGTACAATGTTCATAAATTTACAGTCCAGTAAATAACCAAAGACCAAATGAATACATTTGTTCAATTTTAAGGTAGACAAAAAACTAAATCTCTTTAATTTATCAAGGATTAAAAATTGCCTTTTCTTAAAACACGACTAAAGACAATGAGATTTAATACAGTAGTAGTTTGCCTCTATTAGTTAGAATTGGGAACCACAAAGACTAAAGTAATACAATTTTTTTTTTTTTTTTTGAGAAAATGGTCTAAAACCCTTTCAATCTATACCCGAAATCCCAACTACACACTCCAACTTTACGAATGTCCTATTACCCACCTGAACTTTATATTTCTCTATTTTCTACACACCTAAGTGCTGACCTGTCATGAGAGGTGTTCTCACCTCCTCTAGGCGCATTAGAAGGTTAATTTTGACGAAAAGTTCCTCCTTCTCCAACGGTCATCTTCCCCACCTTTAAATAAACTATTATTTCTTCTTCCCCACCATTAACCCTTGTTCCTTTTATAAAAAAATCACAATTTCCTCTCAAAATTAAGTAGGGTTTAGTTGTTAATGTTCATTTCTACTTCAAATCTTGAATTTTAGGGTTTGTAATCTGCTCTATTTCTTATTTAGGTCTCTAATTTGAATTTTGAATTTTCTCGAAATTCATCAAAAATGGCAAATGAAAACTTGAATAAGCTTTGTATGGATGAATCAGACCCAATGCTCAACGCTGTAGTGAGATGCAAACACGGAATTTTGCTGAATTTGCAAACTTCTTGGTCGAAATCCGGGAAGAAGATTTTGGTCTTGCCCATGCTATGGTGTATGTGTTTTTTCATTCTTGCTACATTTTATTTTGAATGATGCTAATGTACTATTTTGGAAGATTTTCAGTCTAAAAATTACAATTTTTTTCGATAGAGGGACAAAGAAGAAGTGGATCCAAGATCAAGTTTTTTCCTTCCAAGATTGGTGAACAAAACCAATGAGTTGGAGCAAGAATTATGTATTAGATAGGTTCATATTGACAACTTGAGGAACTCTAATTTTTTATTGGAGAGCAGACTCAATAGAAGGTTGATATGGTGTAGGTTCAATAGGAAGATACTTTTGTGTATTTTGATTTGTGTTGTTGCTATGTTCATCAGCAATCAGTAGTTCAAGTGCTGCATATTTGAATTTCTCTTTGATTTGTATTGTTGTTATGTTTAATTAAAATTGTTAATGTATGTGTCATTTTGTATTTGTGATGTCAATTGAAGCTTGTATTAATATGCAACACTTCATCAACAACCAACAACCTAGTCATCCATTCATACTTCAACATAGACAACACAACACCATTTGTAAAACACATTACCAACAAAACATATGTAAGCACACCTGAATAGCCAATACAATTTGATAGACAACATAACAACCATTTTAAAACACAACATCACCATTCATTCATAAGGCCTCACATAAGGTAGAATTTACCAAAACTAAATCATATTTACAAGCTCTCACATAAGGCAGAATTTACCTAAATAATGCCATATTCAAAAGCCCTCACATAAGGCAAAATTTACCAACAAACAAAATCCAAAATAGCAGGCCATTAATGCAACATGTATAGACTAACTTAAAAGTGCTTAAATACATCAACATCACTACAATTTCCATGGCATCTTTGACTGTGAATAACTGTCATTTTGACTTGAACTACTTCCCATTGTCTTCTTTCTTTGCTTCTCTCTAAGCTCATGAAGCTTGCTTGTTGAGATTGCTGCTTTATCATTCCATTTCAGCTTAGTTGTATTACTTGGTGTATAACCAATGTCACCAGTTACATTAGATGATCTTGTCACTTTTGCTTGTCCAGTAGAGTAGATCTTACTACTTGGCATGCCAGGCTATAGTAAAATTAGGATTATATCAATATTTAAGCTGTTTAATTAAACAAAATTAGGATTATAATTCAATATTTATGCTGTTAACATATATCAAAGACTCATATTCATGACTTTGAAGCTATTTGCAGCTTGGAACACACCCATTCCCATGACTCTTGGTCTTTTCTCTGGAGATGTGTTTCCCCTGCCCCTACCTCTTCCTCTTTTAGTAGTACCAAATATTGAAGATGATGCATGATAAGTAGGAGGAGCATAAGAGGACGTAGGAAAATCAGTAGGTGCAGTAGGTAGGGGAGGTGCACTAGGTGCTACTGATGATGTTTTTTTTGTCTTTCTCTTCCCCTTTTTAGTGGAGGCTCACCTTCTGATGGTGCTGATGGAGTTTTCTGTACATATAGAAGAAAAAGTAAGTCATAAATTAAGAAAAAGTAAAACAAGTTCAAATATTACCTTTGGTTTGCCTCTTTCCCTGCCTGAACCTGCTGGTTCTACCTTTACTGATGCAGTACGTGATGGTGCACTTTGTCTTGTTGATGATTCAACATTGAGGACACCCTCTCTTGTTATGGCCTCTGACATGACATATACTGCATGTCATTGCAAGTCCAGTCCTAGGAAGCTTCCCAGATTTCTTCGTTTCTCCAGCTTCTTTCCTTCTAGCCT